ACACGGACCAAAAGAGTTTGAGGTACCTCATATATCAACCGAATTTGAACATGAGGCAGCGTCGGTGGCTAGACGTGGTGAAGGATTATGATTGTGAGATCCTCTACCACCCGGGGAAGTCCAACGTTGTGACTGATTCACTTAGTCGTAAGACAGACCTGATCATAGACATTTGCTTGAGGATGACGGTAGTGACTCTGCTCTTGGAGCAGATCCGAGAGGCGTAGGTTGAGGGTTTGAAGGAGGAGCGCCGAAAGTGCGGGTTGGTGACCCTGCACAGGAAAGTTTGGGTGTCGTATTGGGGTGGAGTGCAGCTGATTTTAATGGATGAGGCCCACAAATCCAGGTTTTCTATCCATCCTGGGGCATCAAAGATGTACAGAGATCTTTGTCCTGATTATTGGTGGTCTTGCATGAAGTCGGATGTAGCCTAGTACGTCGAGAGGTGCCTGACCTGCAGGAAGGTCAAGGTAGAGCACCAGCGGCCTCACAGAAAGACACAGCCGTTGGACTCCCCATGTGGAAATGGGAAAATATTACTATGGAGTTAATCACAAAGCTTCCCAGGACCGTGCGGTGAGTGGATTCGATTTTGGGTCATCGTGGATCGATTGACCAAGAGTGTCCATTTCATTCCGATCCAGGAGAGCATTTCGGCCGAGAAGTTGGCCGACATTTACATTCGAGAGGTAGTAGCACAACACGGAGTTCCAATCTCTATGGTTTCTGACAGAGACGTGTGGTTCACTTCCAGATTCTGGAAGAAGTTTCACGACGAGTTGGGGACTCGTCTGCACTTTAGCACCACTTTTTACCCGCAGACGGATGATCAGATCGAGCAGACCATCTAGCCATTGAAGGATATGCTACGGGCATACGTTTTAGACTTCGGTGGTAGCCGGGATACCTACCTTCCTTTGGCAGAGTTTTCCTACAACAATAGCTATCACGTGAGTATTGACCGTCCTCCCTTCGAGATGTTATATGGGAGGAAGTGCAGGACCCCAATATGTTGGGGTGAGGTTGGACAGATGGTCATGGGGAGTACTGAAGTGGTACTCAAGACGACGGAGAGGATCCAGCAGGTTCAGAGTAGGCTTCAGACTGCTCAGAGTCGGTAGAAAAGTTATGCCGACAAACGTCGTTCGGACCTGGAGTTCTAGGTCGGGGATATAGTCCTCCTGAAGGTGTCACCTTGGAAAGGTGTCATCCGGTTCAGGAAGCGGGGCAAGTTGGGCCCCAAATACATCGGTCTTTTCAGGGTTGCAGCTCGGGTGGACAAGGTGGCATATAGGCTGGATCTGCTAGCCGAATATAGCCAGATTCACAGTACCTTTAACGTCTCCTAGCTACAGAAGTGTCTGGTCGATGACTCCGCGGTGGTGCCTTTAAAGGACATTTAGGTGAATGACAGCCTGAACTACATTAAGCGACTAGTAGCTATCCTCAATAGGAAGTCGAAGGACCTGAGGAACAAGAGGGTGGAGATGGTAAATGTAAAATGGCAGCACTGCAAGGGCTCGAAATGGACTTGGGAGCCAGAGGACGAGATGAGGGAGCACTACCCCAAGCTTTTTCTGGATGAAGCAGCAGACTTCAAGGACGAAATTTGAAATAAGTAGTGGAGAGTTGTAACACCCGGTTCCCGGTACGTATTTTAAATTTAAGTAATTGCATGTTTTACACTGGGACTCGACGAGATGGAGTCCCAACTCGTCTCGTAGACTGGATTATGGACGCAGGTTCTTAGTAACCTAATCGACGAGTCGGGATCCCAACTCGACGAGAATGGCTGCCTAGATGAAACCTTAATATTTAGGGTTTTTACCCTATTTAAATGCCTTATCTAGTCCCATTTCAGCCTCCATCATCTCTCACAATCCAGAAAAGCCCTAACTCAAAACTCTAAAGCATTTAGAGTGTCCTTGAGCCATTTTTGGGTGTTTTTGGTTGATTGAAGCTTGGAGTGGAAGCTTGGGGGTTGTAGAAGAAGCAAGTATATCTAAAGATTTTACTTCATTTCCAACTTATTCAAGGTAAAAAGCTTCAACCTTGACTTCTCATTTGTTAGATCTTCTTTAGGGATTGAATCTTGTAATTGTTGGGGCATTTCTAAGTCACCTTCGGGTTTAGAGCGTAATGTAAAGTGTTGACTTCATATCTGGAACCTTGGAGGGTTCTCATGACATAAAGATACCAACTTTTATGATATAAGAGTCCTATGCATCATATAAACCTCATTTTAGGGCCATTTGAACCAAATACCACATGTATGAACGTCAAGTTTGTAGCTTTACGTGTAATATGGACCCTAGGAGGTCAGATCTATGTTTTGGATGCATTAAGACCATCTGAAACCGACTGAATAGTTTTGGACATAGAGGGACTCGGCGAGTCGCTTATACGACTCAGCTAGTCAGGTCGTATTTTCCCCCAAACCCCTTCTGATATCGAGTAGTGTGTTGAGTTGGAAGAAGACTCGGCCAGTTGGGTTCGGTATGGACATGAAGATCAACATACTCGACAAGTTCAAGGATGAACTCGGAGAGTTCAAGGCATTATCCCAATTATATGAAGAAGAACTCGGCGAGTCAAGGACTAAACACTTTAACTCGGATGAAGATTAACTCAATGAGTTCAAGGATGAACTCGACGAGTCAATGTAGAAGGTCCCAACTTTGTTAAAGGAGAACCCGGTGAGCTCTTGCAAGACTCAACGAGTAGGATCGAAGTTCTAGTGCTCTGTGAGTTATGGAACTCGACGAGTTGGTGGACCAACTCGGTGAGTTGAGTCAACCAGATGTTGACTTTGACTCAAAAGTTGACTTTGACCAGGATGTTGACATTGACTTTGACTTTGACCTGAGTTGACTCTTGAAAGGGTTAAGAGTATGTAATGGTAATAAAGGAAGGTTGTTATGTGTAGGAGTTTGAGAAGAGTTGATCCCAGCGCCGAAGATAGTTCAGATACTACACGACTTTGAGGTGAGTTACCTTTTAATAGAAGTGGGCTAAGGCACCAAGGTCAGCCCACTAGTAAGAGATTATAGTAGAGATGATTGTCTTTGTGATAATTATCTGGTATGTTGCGATCTGTTATGATTATGTGCTAGGATGCTATATGTGTTAGTAGTAGTAGGGGAGGAATAGTCCCCAGTTACCGGTTGAAAAATACCGAAGGAGTAGACAGCACCCATGCATGCCTAGCTATATGTTCATGATACGTCATTATATGGTAGTGGTAAGGGTGAAATAGTCCCCAGTTACCGGTTGAAAGATATTGAAGGGGATGTTAGCTCCCGGCTACCGGTTGAAAGATATTAAATGGGAGATTAGCTCCCGGTTACCGGTTGAAAGATACTGAATGGGAGGTTAGCTCTCGACTACCGGTTGAAAGATATTGAAGGGGAGCCCAACTCCTAGTCATGCCAGCTAGATTCCGGTTGAAAGACACTGAAGGACAGGCCTTATGTGGTATGTGGTATGATGGGGGGAACTCACTAAGGTGTTGTTTGTTTTTTCGAAGCGAAAATTCATGAAGTCTGCAGATCACCTCTGCAATCCTCTGTAGCAGAAGAGGTGAAACAAACGGCTGCAGCCTATAATAAGAAGCATGTTTGTTTCTTAACATCTGCAGACTGCTGCAGTAAACTAAAATTTAAATAAACTAATTTTATAAACCGAAAGTAATTTTCAACACTGAAACTTAATAATTCTAGTCTTAAACATTGAAATAATAATAACAAGAACATGTAAAAAAACAAAAATATAAATTTAAAAAAATAAATAAAAAAAAATGTAAAAGAAGCTAATAGTTTTATTCTAGAAAAAAAAAAACTAACTTTAAAAAACATTAAAAAAGAAAATAATAAAAAAAAAATAAGAAAGTATTGCAAACGTTGTCTACAAAGTTCGTAAAAAATTACACACGTTAAAAAAGATGTAACTGAAATTGAAAATATTATTAATAAAACGGTAAAAAAAAATTTAAAAATCAAGTTAAAAAAATCGTGGAAATTATAAAAATAAATTGTATCACATTCGTAAATAAAAATTTAAGAAAATCAAAGTTTAAAAAAAAAAAATTAAAAAAAAAGGTTATACAAAAAATCTTAAAAAACACTTAGAAAAAATGAAAGTTGAAGAGGTTAGAAGAGGCAAATCAAGTGTTGCGTCACCCAGCACACGCGCAGAGGTTTTGTAATATGTAGTCTTCCAAAAAATAAACTGCTGCGAGAGGAAAAGTGTTGTGCGTATGCTACGCCGCGCAGCAATAAGTGGTTTGAAGAGGTTTTTATAGAAAAACAAACAGCACCTAAGTTTTGTGTTTACAATTTTTAGTTTTGTTTCAGGTACCTCTTCAGATAAATGGAAAGAACTGGAGCGGTAGCTGCACATCACACACACAGGATTTCCGCACATGACATTCTTGGGATTGTACTCTAATGTTATTATTGTTTTCATGATATAACTTTGAGACATGTGACTATGGTTTTGATGAAATGACTTGACTTGATGGTATTTTCTTATAAACGATTTTCTAATTGTTACATCAAAAATGAAATTTTTAGTTTTGAAATTTTGGGATGTTACAGGGTTATATGTGTTCAATGTAGAATTTAAACTTATTTTAAAGTGTTGTTTTTTTACTATAGTTATCTTTGATATTATTGTGATTTTTTAGTTTGGTATATTGAAAATTGAATATATTAACAGGCTCTGAGGTCATTGTCGGAGCTTGAAGGACAGGTAAGTTTAGATATGATTTTGGACTATCGTGAGATATTTTAAGAGTGAATATTGTTACCATGTTTATACACAAATTGGAAAAGGTTTTAGGAATGATTATGGAGAATTCATAAAGAGATGAGTTAATGTGGATCCATTGATTAGTGTTAGTGGAAGTTGTAGTGGTTGAATTATTAAATGTCAATGTCTTCTTTTGAACTATTATCCTACCAACACTAAAGGTGGTCAGCATGTTTAAATAAAACAAATGTCTTAATCATATGGAAATAAAAATAATATTTAAATATCCTTGTCCGAAATACACATTTCGGATATTCATAGTCATTTTCGTAAATGCAAAAGGATGATGTCATATATAATCTCACAATGGCCATTTTTGTGAATATATCCCCACTTTTAAACCACATTCTCATATTAAAGTCAGAGTCGAGTTTTTATTCCAAGACACTATACGAACACATCCCCTTAACAATAATCACTATACAAGCCGTTTCTTATCAACGTCCCAATCTCTGAACAAGCCGATTCTCAATCTCCATTCGTTTCTTCATGAAATGTGCATATTTTGCCACAAGTTCATTGTCTTGAGCTGTTATTGTTGCAACAGCTTTACATCCAAAGGCCGTTTTCTCTAACTTGTCTTTATACAAATAAAAAATCGGCACAAAACTTCCCTTGTTCTCGCATACCCAACCATGAGCCGCCCTTAATGCAGCCCCTAATGATGCGGAATCTGACCAAAGTTTCAGAAAAAACCAAAATCTTAATTTTCAACAAGCCAAAACCAAAGGGTATATCTGTCTTTTCAAATTAATTACCTGGTCTTTGTACTGTGTAGACATTGCAGCCAAAAATGGAAGCTATGGAGGTCAAAATGGTATGATTTGCAGAGGCCCCACCTGTTGCGATTATGCGTTTTGGAGGGGATGGCATCCCGAATCGTTCTGCATGCCCTCTCATTGACACGAATTGTCCTTCGATTAATGCTCGGATCTGCACATGCATGCAAATATATATATATATTATATTACATAAACTTGAACAATAGTAGGTGAAAGCTTCGGTTTCAAACTGTTTTTTAGCAACAGATTTTTGGTATATGGGTAAATGAATTGACTATACTGACCTCAGAAGGAGGATCAAACTCCTTCACTTCACGTTCACTTACGCCATCCAAGGTGTCGCCTTTGAAATTCTCAAGGATATATCGATGATAACCAACTGATAAAATAAGAAAAAACAAACATTTGGTTTTATGAAAAAGTTGACTTTGGCCATCAATTATATTTATATATAAGCATTGATTTCCAAAATGATACAAGGATTCTTATAAAAAGCTAAAAAAAATTAATGTAAACTTTATATTAAAAAGGTCAAATATTTGACTTTCTATGTATTGAAAAGAGAGAAGAGGGTATGTATATGTATAACTTACTTGGGAGGGGAGGAAGTATCTCATGATCCTTGTAGTAAAAACCCATCTTTCCACCTGAAAAATGGGTAATACTCGTTTATGCTTTTATAACATATATACATATAATTTGTGATTAAAGTTATTAATTTCCCAAACCATCTTATCATCTGGGTTTTTGTTGCAAATAAAACAGAAGGTCTTTCTTATAGAAATCTTGAAAATGGAATGTATATATGATCAAGCAAGACAAACCGTTTAAGGGGGGTGTTTGCTTCAGGGACTGATTAAAAATATCCCAAGATTTATCCGCACACCGATCACGAATATCTATCAATCAAAAGATGACAACAACAATATAAATTATTCTTCTCTTCTCTTCTCTTCTCTTCATAATAAGATATTAACATTAGATTGGATTACATACCTTCACGAGTTAGAGACCCGTTTTTGTAGCATAACATCACCATATAACCTTTTGTATCAACAGGGTTTGGAAAAACATGCCCTTCTAGGCTTGGGTTATGATCCATGGTTATTCCAAATACCTGAATATTTTTATCAACAAAATATGATTATCATTTATCCCACAAAGAGGAAGGAAGGATTTCATATACCTTTCTTAAACAAATAGCAAAGTTCCCTTTCAATGTTTTTGATAAATTAAAACAGAAATGTTTCCGATTTTCGAAATTTATATATATATATATATATATATATATATATATATATATATATATATATATATATATATATATTCATTTGGTCCATATTAAAGTGAAAGGCATTTTGAATGAATTAAGGATCTTACAGTATCACTGGTGCCAAGGCTGATAGCCAAATCCCCTGGTGTGTTGAGGGTCAATCCTGTCAAATTCCATATTCCTTTAGTTAGCATATTATTATATAAATACCAAGCTTGACTTTCAAAACTCAAATCAAGTACTATTATTGTATTGTCAAATGAAATACTACATTTTTTTCACAAAGTTAGATTTAACAGATTTACTATCATTTGTTAAAAACCTAAAATCCACATCGATTAGGACAAAACAGAGGAATTTCGGATATCAAAATCAATGCTAACAATATCTTGTGATGCCTAATTATGAGGGAAAAAACTACATTTTATTGATCCTTACACGAAAGTGAAACCATTTAATTCGGGACAACCTGAAAGAAATTTTGTTACACTTGATTTTAATTTTTAAGACAGATAGATAGATAAGATTACCAGGCTTAAGTTATAAAAGCCAAATGAAGTAGCAATAAACGATATAAAATCGAGTAAAGACACTCAGGTTTGACTTTTAAAAGTCAAACACAAGTAAAACCTAGCATCAGTTACCCAAAAGATAAACTTATTGTATAAAACTATCACATCATACAATGTAGAATGTAAAAAAGGGAAGATAAGTTTCACCTGCCAAGCTATTTGGATTATCTCCAGACCATTGAACAACCAAACACTCCTTGTTGAATTGGAACCTAAATGAACCACATCATAAAAAGCTTGATAAATGACCATCAACTCTATATGAAAAGGGTATATTGGTCTTTTACAAATACTAACCTCTCAACAAAGTACGGGGCAATTAAACCAGCAACAGCATGAGCAGGAGCCAACTTCCCAAGTTTTTCCTCTAAACCAGGAGCCGTGGCCTATATTAATTAAATATCAATTACAAAACTAAAACGTATGAGTTTTCTTACTAACTAAATGACCATACTACCCTTAGGCTCTGAAAGTTATAAATAATACAAACCTCCAAAGCCTTTTTTGACCAAGTTCTGTCTTTAATGTCCATCAAGTTCATCCCAGCACCATCAGTATGATCAATGCAAGCATATCCTCCAATCAGAAGTGATGCCATGAATGAGCTCACAAGTGAGATCCTTTCAGTGTTGTTGTAAACTTGAGATTGCATCTCAAATATCCTTTTAATTTGTGGGCCCGTGTACCTTTCATGGGCTCTAGATCCAGTAAGCTTAGATAACTCCAATGCACCACCTAAAGCTTTCTCAATAGCCTTACATTGTTGGGTTGTGCTGCTATCCATCCAAATTGGGGATTCTTTTGTAGAAAATGCTTCCCCAAATTGATCAACCAAAGGCTTCTTAGGATCCAGAGATGATAAGGTTTTGTAACTGCCCTTCTTCCAATACACACTACCATGTTGCTGCCCGCTGCCCGAAACAGCAGCAAGCTTCTTGAAATCAAATTTCTTTGAATCTTTGAGTCTTTTAAGAATTAGGTCCAATGCTTCAACCCACATTAAGGTAGGGGATACAATTCTACCATTAATTGATGGGTCTCTGTATACACCATCTTTGGTTTTGTAATGTGGTAGCTCAGAATCAAAATGCACAATCTCTGAACTCACAATGTTGAGACTAGAATCCAGCACAGTTGCCTTTAAAGACCTGTAATATAATTACACAAAATTTTCATCGAGAGTCAATTCTATCATATATTTAAAAAAAAACACAGAATTCACAATCTAAAACAGTAAATTCTAAAACCCCACAATCTTTGTTAGCTCAAGAATCAATTCTAGCAAGCGTACACTCAATTGAGTGGGTAATTAAGTAGAAATTTTGAAAACCATCATTTACTTTTCAATCACTGTATCATACATAGAAAAATGGACTTACTGTGTGGAGCTATCAAATCCAAGAAAAAGAGCATCCTTAGGTAGAGATAGAGTATCCATGGAAAGTGAGCAGAACAGACCTAATCTCCCAAGCAAACAAAGTGTCCTTTTATACGCATAGGTTGTTATTCAAGATTAGAATAAATATATACCTGTTCAAATAGTATAACAGATAAGGATATGGATTAAGAGAAATCAAATATCAAAATATCCTTAGCTTTTTTTAGCCCGATTAATTTTCTAATTCATTAAATCAAAGATAAATGTCAAAAATTTTAGATGAGATTTAAAAATACAATACATTATAACTTAATGCATGTCATTATTTTATATGAATATTAAAATGTACGAAACAAATTATAGTTAAAATTTAACAACTATATATCATTGATGATGATTATGTCATTAAAACTAACTAAATAATAATAATTTTTACAGTATATGTAGAGTTGTAACAATTTAATTTAAACAATATGATACAATAAACAATGATTAAAACTTGAAAGGTAAAGTCTTTTTTGAGTTCTCATTATACCATTGGATTAAATTTCAATCGGGTTTAGAGCTTTGAGTCTTCAATGTGTCTATATGTTTCATAAGCCAACGAATGTTGAGACATAACTTTGACAACTTCAGAAAAATGAACTTGCAAAATCTTCATAACTTTTATAACTTTGACAACCATGGATCAAAACGAAGATTAAAGTCATGATCTAGAAAGCTTATAACAACATCTAACCTTAATGGATCCTATATAAAAGAATTATCAAGTGTCAACAAAACACCATATTTCAAGCAAAACATATCATATTTTCAGCAAATCAAACTACACTTTGATTTTCAGCAAATCAAACTAAAATTTGATTTTCAGAAAATACCCTCTGATTCTCAGCAAATCAAACTGCACCATGATTTTTTTTTCAGCAAATCAAATCAGGTAAACATATCAGGTTTGATTTCAAAAAAAAAGTTAACATCTAATTTCATCTCACATATTTCAGAAAAAAAAAAAAAAAAATTGATTACATACAAAATCTGATATGTTTTCAGAAAAATGGACTTAAATGACATAGCTAATTACATAGCTCTAATTTCAGGAAAAAAAAAATCAATTATATAGCAAATTACATACCTCTGATTTCATAAAAATAAAGATAAATAAATAACCTCTGATTTGAAGCACTACCAAAAGAAACATTTGAAGCACTGCCAAAAGAAACATAGCAAGAGAAATAAGGAAATCGAAGTACCTGAGGATCGAAGCAGCTTCACAGGCAAATCTGAGCAGATAAGGATGGAGGAATGGTGCAATAGCAGAGGGCTTGGCGGAGACGACTCTGGAGCCGGAGACGACGCCGGGAATGGAGAAAGGAGCGTTGATGGAAGAAAGAAATTTCGGAGGCCGCGTCGATAGAAGAAAGATGATGCGGCGGCCGTTAGTGAGAAGAAGAGCGTGTATTTTGGTTTCGGGAATATTGGTCCTTTTTTTTCCAGATGTATCCACGACCACAAGTCTGATTTTTTAAGAGCCTATTAACTAATTTTTTTTTTATGTATTACTTAAGATGCTACCAAACAAGTCTGAAATTTTAAAAGGTTATCTTTTAATTTTTAATTAAAAGATAAACAAACCTAATATCAATATTTAAATATTAAATGTTATTTACACTATTATATATTCTTTTGAAACATTTATAAAAGAAATCAAATATTCTTTAAAGTATTTATAAGACTTTATTATCAAAATAATAGAATGATTATCTTTTCTTATAAAACTTCTTAGAATTTTATGAACTTTTGTTTTAAAAAAATTGAAATTCCCAAAAAATGGAAGTGAAAAATAATAATTTTTAAAACTTCCACAAAATTACATGTGACAAGACTTTTAAGAATTTGACAAAAAACTTTTATTTATTAGAAAGAATAAAGGTTAAAATCAAAATTACTACGCACTATTTTATGTGTTCATTTAGTCAAAAATCTGTTTTAAGACTAAAAAATCACCAAAAAATTTTTAGAGGTTGTTTGTTTTTTATGGGAAGATTTGCGCAACCACTTTTGTCTGCGCCGCGCAGACATATGTCATCGCAGCATGTTTGTTTTTTGGAAGTGTGCAGATCAAAAAACGTCTGCGCGAGGTCTTCTTGACGCAGACATGGACCACTGTCTTCAAAGGTCTTCAGACCTCATATTTACCTTTAAAAAAAAATCCACCAGTTTTTTTTCTTTCTCTTTTTGCTGAAAATGCATTTTTAATATTTATGACGGGAAATTAAGTTTGAAAAAATAATTTATTTCAACAGCTGCAGACGTTAAAAACAAATAGTCTTCTTATTGCAGATTACAGAGATTTCTGTTGTAGAGGCTTGCAGATGTGGTCCGCAGACTGTAGATATTTTAGCTTCAAAAAAACAAACAACACCTTAGTCAACATACTCTTTTATGACCAACAATGTTAGGTTTTTGTGTTTTCTTTGCTATCTAAGTTCATTGATTTTTTTCTATATGGAAATTATTTTTTTTATCGGTATTCATTTTTATATGTTTTTTACACAATTTATCTTTACAAGTTCATTGTTTGACTTTGTTTTACATGGTCCTTCACAATTTTATTGTATAAACGAACTCTAAAAAAACACGTAAAAAAAGTAATTTAAAAAGGAATTGCGAAAAAAACATATAAAAACAAAGTCAAAAATGAAGTTGTAAAAACTGATTATGAAAAAACATATAGAAAGGAAGTAAAAACAATGAAATTGTAAAATGCATATAGAAACGAAGTAAAATATAAAGTATGAAAACGTTTGTGAAAAAAATATTTAAAGGGACCCGGTTAAAATTAAAGGTCTCGAAACAGGTTATGGTCACAAGTCTCAATAATGGGGACATAGTTAAAGGTCCCCAGAAACGGGACATAATTATATGAGTATATACTAACCTAACACCGCTGGGTGATATGTTTTTTTTAGGCCAAGTTATGCAAGTAGCATTGTGCTAGTATGTGTTAAGATCTTGTTTGAAGCTAGCTATGTGCTAGAAATGTTAAACTAGCTTTGTGCTAGTATTTTATGTGTACTTTATGTTAGAGTCATGTTTAACTTATTTTGACATGCTAGTATTTTATCCGTACTTTATGAAATATATTTCAAGTTTTGATACTAGGTCATAACTCGTGTAACTAGGGGTGTTCGTTTGGATGGAGCGATTTGATCTGATCCAATCAAGTGAATCCAAATAGATTTCAGTTTTCAAAACATTGATCTGAATAATCCAAACTAAATTTAAATCCGATCTGATCCAATCAAACTACAATTCGGTTGGTATCGGTTTTTACTATTTGGTTTTCAAGAGGCAAAACATTTTGAAAAATAGATAACTTGAATATTAGCAAATTCTATAAATAAACTATTTTTTTATAAATTATAATTTATGAAGAAATACTAAGAAAATATATTATAGTTAATATTTCATTGAAAAAAAACTTTTGATAAGAAGTAATTTTAAAGTAGTATATTCGATGAAAATTTCTAAAAACTAAATAATTATTTAGTAAATTTATAAATAGTTAAATATACATATGAAAAATCGATACTAAGTTGCTATTCGGTTTTTTCGGACTATTATAAACCAAAACCAATCCGAAATCCAAAATAATATTTTAGCTTTGTTGAAAACCAATTCAAAAATTCGAATATCCGAACCAAATAGTCTGATCCAAATTGTCCAAGTGGACAATTCGGTTTTATCCAAATAGTGAACAACCATAAGTGTAGCTCACAAGTCTTTGGACTTATGTATTTTGTTTTTGGAACAAATTACTGAAATCGTCCCTATGGTTTGTCAAAATTTTGTGTTTAGTAACGTTTTTTTTTTTTTTTTGCACTTAGACCGTCCCCAGTGGTTTCGTTTTGTTGTGTGGTTCGCCTCTGACATACCTAAAATGATTATATTACCCTTATATGAGTTTTATATTTAAATTAATCAAATAAATGTTTAATTAATAGTAAGGGGCCACCCATAAATCGTACACCTTGTTTTCTCCTCCCCTTCTCCATTCTCTATCCCTCATCTCCTTCCATACATACCTTCTTCCCTAGAAAATTCTTCAACCACCCATTTTCTACCTCTGATGATTCACGAGGATAACTACCACACCTGCTTCCGACGACCACCCTAAATCATCAGTTACTCTATTTCTTTCTTCTATAAGAAAATCAGGACCACCGCCTACCCCCAAACTAGCCCTGATATCGTTGAAACTCCGTCGTAAACAACATCCACTGTCAATGGCTACTAGCTTGCCGGAAACAAGTGTTGTGACAGGAAACCACATTGACCACCGAAAAACACATCCACAATATAGATGAAACCTCTGTTTCAAACTCTTACTGGCTCCCTCTCTTTCATCTATCATCAATTACTTTGAAAAGATAAACCCATCGGAAAAGTTATCATCTTATTCGTTTGAATTAGCATCTACAATCACCAATTAAACCCACCATGATTAAACCCAAAACCTTTGTCTCTTCTCTTTCACCCTACATCCACCCTTACACACACTTTGGCTACTCAATCACCATTGGACAAACCCACCCATAAAAAAAGCTTGGAGATTATAGTTTTGGCAAAAAGAATTCAATGACGTAGTAACTTGGATGAATTAAACGATAACAATCAAACAAAAGTTGTCATTGCATAGAGATTGAATTACACAAGTATATAAAGATAGAATCGATTATAAGGGTGTGTATACAATTATTTGGAGTGTTTGAATTGAAGTGGGAAGATCATAAACGATGGAAGAATTATGGTTATGATTTTGGGGATTTTAGGAAGAAACTCAACCTCGATGAGGACTCTGCAGAAAATTTCATGAACAAGCGAAAGGATTTGTGTGAACCAAAATGTACCAAAAGTAAGTAAAATTAAATTAAACTAATAAAACAAAAGACATCTCGCTTAAAATCTAATAATCTCTTTTCCTTATAAAACTAAATGATAATCAAAACTATAATCAAAACGAGTCTTGTCGGAGAAGACAAAGCGGAGGTTTTGGTGGTTTATCAAAGGTGAAGACACATTTCAGAGACCAAGCTAGGGGCGTTTTGGTCTTTTATGGGTCTTGAAGTTTTATTTGGAAGATTTTTGGGTTGGGGTGTGTCGTTAGAAGCCTAGGGCTTCTCGCCACCTTTTTGTGGATATAAAGTTCGTTGGAAACGAACCTCGAATAAGGAAGAAATGACACTTAGAAGTTATTGGTATTAATGGTCCTTAATGGAAAAAAAGTTGACAAGGAAGGACCATGCATGCAAAGTGGAAGGCGCGTGGGCGTAAGCTGGGTTACGCCAAGCATATAAAGGGAAATGGTCGCGGGTGCCTTAGGAAGTACGCCCAGCGTATGTCCAGTGTCCAAAAACCCTAACTTTAGGGCCAACCACTATATAAAGAACATAATGGCTCAAACCCTAGCCTCCTTATCTGCCCTCCAACCTTAGAGAAACCCTAGAACGCCTCATCTCTTTCATCCTTGGATGATTTTTGACTTCAAGAAGCTCATTTTGGTGGTGTAAAACAATTTTGGTCCTAATTCTTACTTAAGTGAGTCAACTCTTGATCAAAGTTTATTTTGTCCAATTTAAGCATTAGTTACTAGATGTGTTAAATTTAACTTTTATCTTCTTAATTTACATATTTACTAACAATAATATATATATATATATATATATATATATATATATATATATATATATTGTCACTAAAAATGGAAAAAACTTTTAGGACCATTTTGAGAATGTTACCAATCAACACATGACGACGATTTATTTGTGATAATATATGAAGATATTCGCTTCTTGAGACTACCACAAACTCTAGGGTGAGGCTTCCATGTATTAGGACAAGTGCAAGCATTTCATGGAGGTTAGTTATCTTTGATTTATTGCATGGGAAGCTTGGGGTGCTTTGATTCCTGGTGGATCTGTATCGTTTTAACATTCGACACAATGATCTTGTAGTGAGGACATTCAAATTTAGTACGACCATCCTTCCCTTGATAGGTCCATTCAACAACTTCGACCTTGCCGCTGCTACTCTTGGTCGTGGTCATGTCCATTTGCTCATGGATTTTCTTCATCGTGTGCTTCTTAGACTTTTTTTTCATGTCATTATTGCTTGTTACCGGCTTACCGCATACGCTATGGCTTCAATCACCGAAAAAAGAGATAAGAGAAGAGTTGAGGAAAAGGGGAAGCAGATAAACACAAGAGATTGAAACACGAACAAGTGATGAATCCTAATTGGTGACCCTTTAAACCTAATAAAAGATTGAGGAGAAGTGTATAAAGGAAATGTGTGTGTGTGTGTGTATATATATATGGTTAGGTTATTTTGTTTCTAGTAACTATTGTGTGCCAGAATGAATAGATCTGGACCATCGGATGGAATATAATCAAAGGTCATGATCCGAAGGTCTATGATAGTAGAATATGATAACATGTACCATATAATCACACAAATTCTAGCATAAGGGTATTTTATTCAATTAACCTATATTAAAAAAGGAAATTTCGGATTTTTAGGATTAATTCTGTTATTTTTAAAATTTTAAATATTTTAAATTAATTCAAATTTAAAAATCCGATTTTATTCTGTCAGAATGTCAAACATTAATTAGTAAAGATATTTTCGATTTTATTATTGCGGAATATATTTCCAATGCATATATTTTTGATAATTAACCTGATTTAATGATTCAACATATATTCTTCATATAAATTCGAACGTGAATACAAAATCATACATATGCTTACAAACTAATAGTCTTATACAATTTAATATAGTTATACATATTCTAACAGAATATCATAAAAAATGAATAAAAATATTAAGAAATAACATTCTTAAATATACAACTAGATGGTTACCCGCACGTTGCGCGGGACGGAAGGTGTCGGTATTCTGTTATACCGTTATACTTTTGAAGTACAATGCTATAATAAGGAAAACTTTTAGTTATTTCAAAAATTATTTCATGTTAACAAAATGTTGAGACAACGTGCTTTAAAATAACATCAAAAATGATCAGTCCCTAAAAAAAATACATAAATGGCATCAATTTCAAAAAATATACATCAATCTGATGTATGATGATTTCTCTAAAATTTGAATTCCTTATGGTTTCCATCTTAATGAAATAAAGGAGTGGCCTTCGTATGAAATTGTGATTTGCAAAACCCAACTAATACCTTCAACAGAAATTTACTTTCATTCTATAGTTCAACATGAAAACATGTTGCTATATCATACATCAAATTAATTTAAAAAAATGAAATATACCTCCACAAAGAACATCATAGCCTTCTGATTGTTTCCTTATATACTTGTAAAATGTTGGTCCAATTTATCCCCCTTGTAAAATTCCAACCATAAAAAGAAGGAGGTACGTGATAATATGTAATAGGAAAGAAATTTATATGTTTTAAAGATCATAAGAAAGCACATAAGAAAGTGAACCTCCAGTGTTCGTTAACATAAACAACATTATCCTCAGAACGATCACAAATAGTATCAAAATAAAAATGTCCTAACTGTTATATTTTTTTTTTTTCATTTTTTAATTCACTAATAGTTGTCACACTCTCTGTTAGTATATCTAAGAATCATGTAAACCAACCTTAACAAGGCCTCTGGTTGAAACGTGGAGCAATGCAGTAGGAAGGTTATTCAAATGACCTGCATCAAATAACCAAAAACTAAGAAACCCTAGAATCAAAACTATTACATGAAAAATTATAAATGTAATTTGCTATAAAGTTTAATTTTGGTTTATATTTGCATGTAAAGAAATGACTGAATTAGAAAAATGGTCCCTATGGTACAACAAAAATAACAGATTCAATCCAACTTCAGATTTCATTACAGCCCTTGAAGAACAAAAGAAGCAGCCTATATGTATTTGTCCTAAAAATGAAAGTTTTTGTCTAATGAAAATGGAATGCTTTTTTTTTAAGTGAAAGTAATATGCTAATGAAAGAAGGATGTTGTTTATATATTAAAAATTAAAGCAACCTACTATTTTTGTATGTTTTTTGGTATGAAAAGAGTATTATAAAAAATATAAAAATAAATTATACCTCCACTAATTCATTTTTGAACGTGATGATACTCATTTGTAGGACAGATACACAATTGTAAACATGATACCCACCATTCTCCATTTTGCCCTTTTCAATCTGTAAAATCATTTAATAAAGAAAATGTCAGTGAGCAACAACAAAGTTGCCTTGATTTTAACGATTTTATTACCTTTACATTTGTTAAAATTTTCTATTGTGGTTAGCCTCTGTTGAAGGAAACCTATATAAAAAAACTCTTCATATAATTACTAAGAAAATCCATACAATAGGAGTAAGAAAACAAATAATATGGATAAAGTAAATTATCCTAATAACGTTGCTTCTTTTCTTTATATTGTGGTTAGCCTCTGTTGAAGGAAACCTATATAAAAGAAATCTTCATATAATTACTAAGAAAATCCATACAATAGGAGTAAGAAAACAAATAATATGGATAAAGTAAATTATATTTTCTCTTCTCCATAAAAACACCGTTCAAAACTGAGGCAAACCAACAGTAGTTGCATGTGTAATCCAAAATATGAAAAATTGAGTATACATCAAAAGAAAAAAAAAACATGTACCAATATACACAACATCCATGCTCACACCTAATTGATTCTATAATATTTAGAATTTTTAAATATTAAGAAACAAAAAGAAAGTTGTAAGCAGTAGAAAAAATTTAAAAATAAAAAAAATTAAGTTGCTATAATTTATAAAGATTGATTGAATTTAAATGTGTACCTTTTGTTTCTGATGACTTCCAATAAATAATTAAAAAATAATAATATAAATAGGAGAGAGAGAGAGAGAGAGAGAGAGAGCCTTTGATGGGCTACCAACATGAAGATGCCTGCATGGTTGGCGTCCATCTTGTTCAGAAGCAATTCTGTAGAAGGTTAAATATGTCAAATCATATGTCTAACAAATTAATAAAGTTTTGAAATTTTGTGTGATGAAATTAAAAGCACTTGAATCCAGTCAACTGTTCAGCTTCAAACAGATTGGGAGTCAACATTAAAGTAACAGGGACAACTTTTTCACGATACATAGACATCAATTCTTGAGGAACATACAGCCTTCCTTCATCACCCATCACTGGATCACAAACTAATAACGGAAAAACAAAACTACACACATTATATTTATATATATTTCACAAAAACAAAACATGTATGCGAATTGTGATTGGATGCTAAAAATGACAACTTACCATATGTAAGTGTAGGATTAATGGATCGAAGCTTTTTAAGTACTTCTACTACATTTTCCAGAAAAGAAACTCAACCAATGTAACCTATAATTGTAAATGCATCAACAAAACAATAACACTTTTTCTAAGTTGTAATGTTGAAGAAAATGTTTTTTTGTATTAGAAAAAAAGATAGAAAATAGCAGTCAATAGATGTGTGTAGTATAGTAGATTATTGGCTTCTAGGCCTTCAATTAACTCCTAAAGTTGATTTCCATTTAGAACTTGCCCCTTGAAAGTTCCTGCAAAATTATGTTGTTGTTGTTAAAGCCATGGATAGATTTAAATTCACAAACATGTCCCTCAATGTTGGGGTCGCTTAAACTTGCATGTATGATTTGAGAATTGCACTCACATAATTGGATCAACATCATAACCTAGTAATTGGAGTGGAAAGACAACAGATCTATTGCCAACATAACCCTAGAGAGAGAGAGAACAATTTTAGAGAGAAACTTGATAACATGATTCAGTATCTGTCAGTATCTGTCAGTCTGAGCATGATCCTTTGTAGTAAACAAATATGAATGTTGGCTTAAGATGATGAACATACAGAGTCATAAACACAAAGCTGTGTAAATTAGTGGAGAACTTCCATTGCTAGAACTTATAGTGCAGTGAGAAGAAGAAAAAACCATTGTAATTTCAACTAATTTCCTGATTTTGATAAATCATCGAATGTTAATTCACAATAAATCAAACAAATTTCCAGTCAAACGGTGGGAGAGGACGGAAAGTGGAACGAACCGGAACAGTGTGAGACTGAATACTGAGAACTCGGCCCGTTTCCGATGGTAAAGCTAAACATAGGATTGGAGGTGCCATTTTTCGTGAATCCTTCTTCGAACTCCTAGCCCTTCTATTCGAATCCATTGACACACACACACACACAAATAATGAATTGATTTTACTACGCACAATCAGTTTAAATTAACAAAATGTACAGATAAAACTTCTTCTTCACCTGAAATAACATAATCTTCGAAATGCGATCGATTCAAAACGGATATTATTAGCACATGGTTCTTTGTGTTCGTGTTTTTTAGGATTTCAAGATTCCCTACGCGAACCTTAGAAAACAACATAACAATACCAACAAAAGCAGTAGAACTAAAAAGAGCGAAATTGAAGAAAGGAAGAATACGATGGAGATACCGATGGAGGTTTTTCACTGGCTTCCATCTCCGATATCTCTTCTTTGAAGCCACAGGTAAGAAATCGGAAACGTAAAGACATCATCTGAAGTTTGTTTGTATGAAACTAAGTATCCCTCTCCTAATTGAGTTCGTGGAGACCGAAGTCTGTTTCTGAGGAGCAGTGGTCGACGCTTTAAACCCACGTAGGCTAAAGCTGAAGTTGAAGGTGCCAATTGTGCCTTTTGAGATCTCTTTCAACGAACCAAAGTCATTTGTGTGTGGGTTATCTTGTGACACCAAAGCAGTTGCATACCTTGTATTAGAGCGAGTCGGCCGAACCAAAATTGCAAGCCAAACACCCACCTTAAAAACCCTACTATTGATCGGTCGACCATCGTTTCCCCTAAACCCAATGATGATTTGAGCCCTAATTTGGAAGAGGGTCTACAGGATCGTCGTGTTTTTCTTCTTCGCCGACGTAGCAGGACTCGGTGTTTGGCGAGAGGGATAGAGAGAGTTCTGGATAATGGCCTTTAATCGAGAAAAATAAAGAGAAAGAGGGAGATGATAATCTGTAAGCATTTCATTGGAGAAGAAAATGGTGGCGAAGGAGAACTCGACACGTACCTGTGAGTAAGCTAGTTCAGCCACCGCCATTGACCATATAGTGAGGAGGATGCATACAATATTTGATGAGGGACGAAATTTGATAAAACCCAAAAACACTAAAAGTGTAGCGGTTAAAATAAAAATAAACTCATTTGACACAAGTGATAGGGAAATAAACAAAGGACCAAAACTGCTAATACTTTTGCAACTTTACTGTAGCTAAGGACACACAATTTTAATATATAGTATAATTATTAAACAAATACACATTATCTTCATCAATGGTCCAAATAATGCACTTGATTCAAACTATGATGAAAATGTGATATATTATCGTAAGAATGTAACTCTTCGCAAAATATACTTGTTGTTGAACTCGATTCCAAATCTTTCTCTTGTATGATCAAGATTGAATCCCTTCTTCAAGCCATTCTGAAAGAATAAGATGCATTATTCGTTAGTATTACCAGTGAAACTAATGTACTGTTTGTTAACAGACATTCTCAAAGACATTCTAACATAATGCATTTATACAAATAAATTCTGACAGAATACAAGCATTACTTATTTAATAGAAACTAAATAATAGAGAATGATAACATATTCTAACAGAATGTATTCCATTTTTCTAAGGGTGAAAAGGAGTCAAGCTACTTGCGAGCTACTCGAGATCGAATCGTTAAAAGCTCGATTCGAAATTGATTTTAAACGAGCCCAAGCCGAGCTTGAGCTTAATATTAAGCTCGCTTATTAAACGAGCTCGAGCTCGAGCCTATGTCATTAAGCTCGATTAGGCTCGCGAGCCTAAACGAGCCTTTATATAGTATAATTTATTATTATTTTATTATATTAAAATAAAAACATATCATGGGAATTATGGATTTACGGTATTAGTAAACGAGCTTCTTAACGAGCTCGAGCCGAGCTTAAGCTTATTTAGACATGTCAGATAAAAAATTAGTCGAGCCCGAGCCTGAGCCTGTATAATTCTTTACGAGCTCAAGCCAATCTCAGTACAAGAAAGCTCGAATCGAGCCGAGCTCGAGTTCAAGCCTCATATAACTTAAACGAGCCCGAGCCAAGCCTGGTCAGGCTCAGGCTCAGTCTCGGGCTCGGCTCGGCTCGTTTGCACCCCTACATTTTTCCTATCTTGCAATGTTTTTTACTTTTCCTATCTTGACAAATAAGGAGATTGAGATCGAATTTTGTCAGAATAATAGTGTAAAAAAACAGCAATACTCAGGAAGCAAAATGTAACTTACTGAATTGTGTTTTAACCGTTTCAAATAAATAATTCAAATATATTAAAAAAATGTACTTACAGTTTCGAAAAACTTAATGCCATATTCATCTGCAAGAGCTTGACCCTTTGCATTTGGAACAATCTACAAGAAAATAAGAGTATGAGTTTGTGACACATCATTTTTGGATTTTTTTTCAAGGGTAAAATTGTAAAAAAATAGAAAAAAACTAGCATACCCTTTTGCCTTCATCCATATCAGCTTTATTCCTAACAAGAATCTTGTTAACATTGTCTGAAGCATGTTGTTCAATGTTGCGAATCTAGTTTCTTATGTCTGGAGATATAAAGAGATTTGTCAACAATGTTTCATTCATTAAAAAAACACTTACTATTGAAAGATGATTCGTCAGTAACATCATACACCAATAAAATCCCCATAGCACCCTTGTAGTAAGTTGGAGTATAGAGGGGTAAAAGTGTCAATTACATAGCACTATAATCTGAAAAACATGAGAAAAATCTATACCTGCTGTGATGGTTCGGGAATTTTTCTTGACCAATTGTGTCCCAAATTTGGTGTTTGATCTGTTTGCCATCAAGTTCATAGTTTCTTAACTTGAAATCAATACCGTATCAAGAATTTTTTTTAACATATTTAAAAAACAAATTAATTTTTAATACATTAGTTAAGAAATTAACTCACTCAATTGTAGTGATGAAACTAGTGGTGAAAGAACCATCAGAAAAACGCAAAAGAAGGCAACTTTTACCCACACCTGTAATTAATTACAATTGTTATAACACATAAGCACATTCATCATACCACAAAAAATTGGAATTTGGAAAAAACACAGTCCATGCAAAAATATTACAATCGAACTATAAGTACACCCAGAAACAATTTAATTAAATTATCCATAAAAATCGAGAATAAATTGTATAAACTTACTGAGAGGAAGAACATGAGCATAGATCAACGAAACTAAAAACTTAAACGGAGCTCCATTACTTTGCCTAATTTAAAATCAACATACAATGCTGAAGAGGAATTGCGCTTGTGAAACCTATTCATCATCTTCTGCTTCATCATCTCCTTCATGCTGATTAGCAGCCAATCTTCATAATCATTTGAACTTAGAATCTTCATAACCAGATGGCGATTTTAGGGTTTATTGCGGCTTTGGTGGTCGTGGTGTCCGATGACTTTTGTGATTTAGGGTTGAGTTGTGAAGAAGCGGAGCAGAAGATGAAGGCAGGTCGTGCTTCCTCCTTTTATTTTGGTGATTTTAAAATCAAATCCCCCATTTTATCTCAATCACCATAAATTTAGAGTCATGATTTGTTTATTTACCCTTATTAATTTATTTAATGATTAAATTATTCCTAAATTCTTATTGGTACATTCATACACACAATAGTTGCTAAAAACATTTGAATATAACTCTCTCTCTCTCTCTCTCTATATATATATATATATATATATATACATATATAGATGTTTTATTTGCAGATGAGAGAGAGAGAGACTGATTCATTTTTTTAATTAAAAAATGTATTAAAATAAATAGAAAAAAATAGAAAAAAGAAATTAAAACCGTAAAACAATCCTTTCAACCTTTTTAAGGACCAAAGCTACAAAATAATTTCGATTTTTAACCAAAGGTACAAATTGATTTTTTTTTTTTTTTTTTTTTTTTTTTTTTTTTTTTTTTTGAAATTCATTAATAAATTATGGAGACTAAATTTAGAGTTTACTCTTCAAATTAATAGAATTGACATAGGGCAAATGTATTTCAGCCTTTTCAACTTTTTTGAAAGACCCAAGATAATTTTTTTTTTTGATTTTGGACTAGTTATATAAATTGAATTTTTTTGGATAACCCGTATACCAAATTTGTAGTTTATTCACAACCGGGTAAATGTATGTATTTCATTGTAGATTTCATATTCGTCTTAATTTTTTTTTCTTCATTTTTTTAAACTACAAATAACCTACCTGCATATATACCACTAAGGTCTTTTAATAAAATTTAACCCTAACGTATTTATTTAAAGAGAAAATTACAAATATAGTCTAATTTCTTAATTACTTAGTAGAAAATAACTAAAAAACTAAAATTACAAAAATAACCACTAAAATCGCAAATGAACTTGATCTGCGATTTTACTTGACCATTTGCGAACATACAAGTCGCTAAAGCATTTATACGTTCGCAGATGGACTTTTCCATTTGTAATTTTGCACCCATCTTTGATTTCCCTTTTTTCAAGTGTATAAAAATAGAATTTTTTCTTCTTTTATTTCTCAAACTTTTTGTTGGAGAATTTTCACTCTAGAGGCACTATGGAGGAATTCATTTTATTAGAGAGATTTTAAACAAATTTTCTAAAGAAATAACAACTAAAGTGATAATTTTTTGCAAAACTTTATATATAATAAGGTTGTTTCGTAGTCAAACCCTATTAATTTCGTAGTTAAAAAAAATAATAAATTTAAAAAAAAAATGCAAAATCATAGATGGGATGAGAGGAATCACAGATGAACTTAGTTAATCTGCGATTTTAGTCAGGGATAGAGGTATTTATGCGGGAAAAAAAAAACTAAAAACAAAACCACCTGCAAACGTATAAGTCGCTAAAGCACGACTATGCTTTAGCGACTTATACGTTCGCGTATGACTTAGAAAAATCGCAGATGAGCTAAAACCTTACCGAGTCGGATCAATTTTGTGGACTGAGACCGGGTCAACTGCCTAATCAACACAAATCAAATATTCTAACCAAACCGAGTAAAAAAAAACGACTGATCCTTGTCAACACCAAATCAAACAACACCTTAATCCATTTGTGATTTTGGTGGCTCAAAATGTAATTTAGTATATATATATATATATATATATATATATATATATATATATATATATATTAACTATTTTCCACAAAAATAATTAACATATTTGGTTAAATTTACAATTTTCACTTATTTAAAGAAAAAACATCATAAATGGTCTCTATGGTTACCCAAAATCTGAAGTTTAGTCCCCGTGGTTTAAAAACCTCATAGATGGTCCCTGTGTTTTCAAAACTTTTGATGTTTGGTCCTTTTTGGTAACTCCGTTAAGTTTGTACGACATCCCATTACATTTTATCTCGTCTCCTATTGAGGTCAACAAAATCACTCCTTTGCATCCTTACTTGATTTGGGTTTGTTCTTGCTTGATTTCATTGTGGAAATTGAAACCTAAACTTCAGAACCTGCTCCAACGATGATCTTTGCAGTGGCGGGTGAAGATAGGGGCGCTGAATGTTGAACCACAAATCCATCTTCTCCGGTGGCAGTCTTGAACCACAAAATCGTTGTCTGCGTTGAAGGTGGCTTGATGTCAATTTTGTTGTTGAATGGTCGATGTTGCAGAAGGTGGCTTAAAGATAACAGATGAGGTCGATGGTGGCTGCGCATCTATCATAGCAAAAGAGAGTTGAGGGCTAGGGTTTAACTTCCCCGACGTCCTTCTCCCATATCAACTTCTGCTTCTTTTGATCTCAATCATCTTCTCTCTGATCTTCTTTTCATTTCGATAATTCCTCAAACTCCATTTACTGTACTTTGAATCTTGTTTTTGGTAGGTTTCTACCGGTTAAAGATCTAAAGATCTGAATCTCATGATTTTTTTGATTAATTGGAGCGTTTTCTAGTCGTAATCATATTAGATTAGAGAAAATTCTTTATTTTTACTTGTTACTTGTTGCTTAGTGTGATTAGATATTCTGATTGCTTGATCTGATTTTGTTTCTGTAAATGGAAGAGAGTAAAGGTGAGGGTTTTTCATTCATCTGCTCAGCTTTTATTTTCTTTTCTCAATTGCAGGTATGCTTAGAGCATCTCGATTTCGTGGATTTAGAAAAATGAGAAGAGAAAGGGAAATGGTGGGGTGGGAGTGGATCATAGACAAAGATTTTGGTTGTAGGGAGTATTGGTTTTAATGTATGTATATGTGTTGAGAGAGAGAGAGAGAGAGAGAGAGAGAGAGAGAGAGAGAGAGAGAGAGAGAGAGAGTTTTAATGTCTGTATATGTGTTCAGAGAGAGAGAGATATTTTATATATTAAATAATTATACTTAGTTTTTTCTTTTTTTAAAAAAACTGAAAAGATCATAGATGGTCCCTGTGGTGTGAAATGACGAAAATGCCCCTCAATTAACGGAGTTAGGGATAAGGACCATCTGTCAAAAGTTTTGAAAGCACAGGGACCACTTATGAGATTTTTAAACCACGGGGACTAAACTTCAGAATCTGGGAAAACATATGTTTTTTCTATCTTTTAAATATGTTGTGTAGGATAACCCAATAAAAAATAATAGAAAATAAACATAATCAAAATAGAAAAACTACAATCAAATAAATAAGAGCATTAGATGGTTGAATATATAAATAAAAATGTTACATAAACATACATTTAAAAATCAAAAGAAAAAACTAACATTCGTGAACTTTGCTCAAACAAAAAACCTATATCCATTTTATGGATCTTCTTTCTCCATTTAACACCATTCAACCATAGAAACTTGATGACAATTCTTCACTAACCTGCAATCAAAATATATTTTTTTTGAAAAAGAAGAAGCAGAAAGATATTCCAAACAAAACGTTGATGTTTGGAGAGTCACATTCAAGATTGAGTAATACACACAAATCACATATAAAGATTAAATGAGAAACTTAAATATAAAGAAAGAATAGAAAAGCTTCATTTGTTTTGGTTGAAATAAAAAATCATATTACAATTACCATCGATGCGACATAACCCATTTCTTCAAATCATCATATTTGGATCGTGAATGCTTCAACTATATGAAAACTTTTGAATCACAATATCTTCAAATCATTCTTACATGTAAGATTTTATATAACACAAAAGACACAAAAGATTGACATTTTTATAGTAAACTTTTCACTAAATGCTAATTAAACATAATATAAGTTATAAAACTTTGAGTGTTAAATCCTAATTAAGAAAACTTTTGAGTTGCATTAGTTAAAAAAAAGGGTTTCAAATGAATGTGGTTTGAGAAAGTTAAAAAAAGGAGTTTCAAATGCATGAAATTTAAGAAAAAAATGCTAGCTTTATAAGTATGTATGATGTTAAGCGCAAAAACACCATATAATCCACCTCTCCTTCCTTTGTTCTTGTTCTGAAACATGCAACTCAAACCGCCATCACCATAGGAGACTGTTGCCTCAAACCTGCAACTAGATCGGAAAACCCACCATTCATCGAATTTGGAAAATCCTCCGATCTAAACCCTCAGACAATAGAAACAAACACGAAGAAACTATAGATCAAGCCTATAATAGGGGAAATCGATGACATCATGGCGAAAGGGGAGAAGTGGATATAAGGTATGGGATGTGGGTGTCAGCTTCGATTTCGTTTTCAGAGAGAGGCATATTAAAGAGGAGCAATTGATTCCTCCATCTTCTTTCGCTCTTATTCATCGGCATCATGATGACATGGATTCAGATGGACCAGATGATGATGATAGCTGTTCTTCCTACTTTACAGGCGTCAATTTGAATTTTTTGGGATTTTTATGGTTTGTTTTTAGGATTATCATCTGGTTTTGTTTTTGGGATATTCATTATGTTTCTAGAACCCTAAGTAATTGATTTCAATAAGCTGAAAAAAGAGATGTTGAAAATTAAAACAAAGATTGTATTTCTTGTGTAATAAATGGTCGAATGTCTTTGTTTTCTAGGTTAAATCAACACTAATCCATTTTTGTAAGAGTAAAAAGAGCTGGAAATATGGAGCATATACTCATTCTTGAACCATACATCAAAAGTGGGGAGATTTATGGTGTTGCAGATTTTGGTGCTTGTGTTTATACCACGGGACTAAACTTCAAATTTTGGTAACCACGTGGATGTTTTTTCTTATTTAAAAGAGTGTTTCCTTGGGCATTCTTCTTTAGCTTGAACGATAAAATTCATAGCGCACACTCATTTATCACAGTGGTTGCATCTCCACTCATTGCCAAATGGGATTTAGTTGTAAAAATAGAAAAAAGAAACATTCAATTGTAAAGACAAATACAATTTTTTCCATTTTTATCTTCTGATTCTATCTCGACCGACTCAAAGAGAGCGACAGGAGGTTTAAGCGGTGGAAGTTAAAGTTTGATCGACAGCAAGATTGGGAATCAGTTTCATAACGGAATCAGTGGGTTTGATGTTTATACGAATGAAACTGAGGTATGTAAAGCCTAATGTTCTATGGATGATTCTACCAATCTTAATGTCATTCTTGCTGTTTACCGAAAGATGATGTAATTTTGTTGGAGTACACATATTACGAAGTATGAGAACCCTACTTATGTTAAAAATGATAAATCTGGGGTTTTGGGTATTTAGTCGGATTTTTACCTGAAAGATGCTTTAATACTTGGAAATCCTTCTTTGTAATACGTGGTTGTTGTGGCTAAAATTACTGTGATTAATTATGAAATGGTGTCATTTTATATGTTTAAAACTTCAACAAAATTGTGCAAATAGTATGAAACAGAAATGGTGATTTTGCTCTATATGACTGTTTGTAATATTTAAAGCACAACCAAGCATAGAAATTAGAAATAGCTACACTTATAGCGTTTTGTGTCTAGAATGATATCATCTATGACGTTGATAAATAACTATGTATTTCAGTAAAGGATGAGGAATTCGATTGATAAGTTGTAGAGGGAAAAGGTAAACAAGGTCGGAATGTTGTTACTTGTTAGTTCAGAGAGGTGAGTTTCAAGATTATTCATGAAAATTGGGTACAAGTCAAATCATTTAAGTAATGTAAATGCAATACTTGAATGGCTTCTAACTCATATATCGAGTTGAATTGAAATGTCAAATATGAAGTAGAAGATATATTAGAAATGCACACACCATATGAAGCAGTGATTACCTAACTAACGAGTAACCACCCAAGTTTGGTGTGTGATGAACTAACTAATGAGATACATAAGACGGACAAACACTACTAATATTTTGTAATAAAGACAAGTGCCTCTCAGGAAAGGCAGAGGGTTCTTTAATTATGTTTTCACTTAGGAAGATGAGAGAACAAGGAGCCATGGAAATTTTGCAGTGTATCCAGAATTTTCTGCAATTCATGGACAACATTTTTGATATTCATCCGCTGCGGTGGGGAATCCACTGAGCATGATACTCCAATCTTGATAGTTGAAGCCAAGAATTCCTCTATTTTCTTTGCATTTGCTATTGTACGTTGCGTAGGAATAGCATCCTCTTGAAGAAATTTCAGAAGATTATCATCAATAGCATCGATTACATGGTCTGGCAAGGCCATGTATGCAAACTTATGAAGGCTAAGGCCTTTGTTAAAGATGTCGTCTGTAGGCCTCTTCCCAGTTATCACCTCCAACAATAGTATTCCAAAACTGTAGACATCCCCACTGCTTGTCATCTCACTCCCAACACCATACTCTGCAACTTATAAGTAATGACATCAAAAAAAAAAAAAAAAAAAAAGGTAACACTATAAAATATAAATAAATATTAGAATCTGGGAATACATGAACTTTTACCTGGAGGTGCATATCCAATTGTTCCTCTAATGCCACTTGTGCTGTTTTGGTTTGAATTTGCTCCAAGAAATCGAGCTAAACCGAAGTCTCCAACATGGGCCACCATATCATCATCCAACAGAATGTTGCTAGGCTTCAGGTCACAGTGAAGGATGGATGACTGGCAGTGATTGTGAAGATAATCAAGTGCAGATGCGACATCAATGAGAATATTTATTCTCTGGAAAAGATTCAGTCTGGATGTATTTGCACTTGAATGCAACCAATCATGTAAGCTCCCATTGGGCATGAACTCATATACCAAAGCTTTGAAATCATTGCCTTGAAAGTCAAGACTTGAACATGAAGTTATTATTTTCAACAGATTCCGGTGTCGAATGTTCCGCCGTGCTTCACACTCCGCTATAAAGCTTCTGTGGGCACCTCGGTTTTGCAGATGAACAACTTTAACTGCAACAGTTGTATCATCAAGGACTCCTTTATAAACAGAGCCAAACCCACCCTCGCCAATCAAATTGGCTTGGGAGAAGCCGTTGGTAGCCTTTAGAATTTGAGCATATGATACTTTCATGAACCGTTCGTCCCTCGATGATTGAGATGGTTGACTCTTCCTTTTCTTACACCAAACATATGCAAAACATAATATGGTGAAAAGTGTGGATGCAGTTAGAATGAGTATGGCGAACAAAGGTAACTTTTTGTTATGCTTCTTTGTATTACATTTGGGCAACCTAATTTCAGCCAAGCCACCACAAAGCCTATTATTACCCAAAACAGAGAATGCACTTGCATTTGCAAATACTCCGATCACGGGTACATTGCCCTGGAAGTCATTAAAGGACAGGTTTGCATATTCTAATAAGGGCAACCGTTCCAAGAATCGAGGAAATTGGCCAGATAAATTATTATGAGAAAGATCAAGTGTCGAAACTGCTCTCATGGAACTTAATGATGTTGGTATTTCGCCTTGAAATAAGTTACCTTTGAGGGATAAGAATACAAGGCTAGTGCAACCACCAATGCTACTAGGAATGTTACCTGATAAATTATTATTTGACAAATCTAGAGAAGTCAACATCTTGAGGTTGCCAACTTCTGTTGGAAGCGACCCGACCAGGTTGTTTTGAGAAAGATTTAGTATGATGCTTAGAGATGAAAGTTGAAGAAGTTGTCTAGGTATTCCCCCGCTGAGTTGATTGTCATCAAGGTGCAACTCCAATAGATTACGACAATTTCCCAGGCTTGATGGAATGTGCGATTCCAGTTTGTTTGAATTTAACCAAAGCTTAGTCAACAATGATAAGTTTCCAATGGCATCTGGAATCGGCCCTGAAAATTGGTTGTAACGTAGAGAAGCCATTTGTAGGTTCTGAAGCTTACCAATGGTTGAGGGGATTTTTCCAGTAAACTGGTTATCTTCTAAACCTAAATTGGTCAAGCCAATTAGATTGCCTATACCTGGAGGAAGGTTTCCATGTATACGATTTCCTCCTAAACTTAGATAACTGAGCCGATCAGAAAGATTACCAATTGATGCAGGCAATGGTCCTTGAAACGTGCAACGAAAAAGATCCAATGTGTCTAATCTGCTACAGTTTTTCAAAGTATCAATAAACTTCATATCATCAGCACCTCCGGATCCATAGATGTTGTTACCACCAAAGGATATAAAATACATATCTTTCATTTCTGCAAAGTCAATTTCCAACTTCCCACTGAAGTTGTTTAGATGGACTTCAAGAAAATCTAATTTCGAACAATTAGATATCGAGGGTGGAAGAGTTCCGGTGAGTTGGTTACCCCATAACTGAAGGTACCTAAGATTCGGGAGCATTGTACCTAAAGCTGAGGGAAGACTACCGGTAAGCTGATTCTCAGCCAAGGAAAAATTGGTTAGGAGTGAGAGGTTAAAAATGGAATGAGGGATGGTCCCAGATAAGTTACAAGCACCAAGGTAAAGTTGTGTTAAGCTTTTCCAACGGCCTAAGGTGTCTGGAATGCTCCCACCCAATGGATTTCTGGTTGCAGAGAACATTTCCATTGATGTCATATTCCCCAACAGAGCCGGGATTCCACCGGTTAAGTTATTATCATAAACTCTAAACAAAGTAAGTTTGGAGAGGAAACTGATCTCTTTGGGTATGCTTCCAACTAGCTTGTTCTTAGAAAGTTCAAGCTCTTCAAGGTTAGAACAACGGGACAAGTTAGTTGGAATGACTCCGTTGAATTCGTTAGAGCCAAGATAGAGGAAACGTAGCCTAGAGAGACGACCCAGTTCATGAGGAATGGTTCCATGTAAGTTACAATCATCACAGTAAAAATTTGTTAAGCTTTTCCAATGGCCTAAGGTATTTGGAATGCTCCCTCCAAACGAATTTTCAGAAGCAGAGAACAGTTTCATTGATGTTATATTCCCCAAGACAGGAGGGATCCCACCTGTTAACTTGTTTGTACTAGCATAAAAAAAAGTAAGTTTGGAGAGAAAACTGATCTCTTTGGGTATGCTTCCAACTAGCTTGTTATCACCAATTCCAAGGTTTTCAAGTTTAGAACAATGGGACAAGTTGGTTGGAATGACCCCACTGAATTTGTTGTAGTCAAGAGAGAGGTCTTTTAGCCTGGAGAGACGACCGATTTCATGAGGGATGGTTCCTTGAAAGCTGTTGTTCCAGAGAGAAAAGAAACGAAGGAAGCTGAGGTTCCCTACATGAGGAGACAATGAGCCTTGTAGTCCTTGTGACTCCAGTAGTAGAACTGTTACTCTTCTATGCTGCCTCCCACATGAAACACCACTCCAATCACAGAAATGGAAGGAAGCGTTCCATGAGCTTAGAGCTTCTTCATTCCTGATCATTGACTTGAACTTCAACAAAGCCTGATAATCGGTCTCGTTACCATCATCAATGGAAGCTGAGATGGAGGCAGCAATCAGAAATATAACAAAACAGGAAAAGGACGTTGGTTGCCTTGTGTTCATTTTTGCAACTAAACTTAGCTAGTTGCTTGCTTTTATATCTAGGCATTTTGAGGACCCTACTCCAGTTATTTATTACAATAAAGGGGTCATTTGATATAGTGTCTGACTGGGTCCAAAAAAAGCCATTTGGCATGTTTGATGTGGAGGATTAGAAAGTGAGGGACTCGGTCCAACCTTTTCATCAGATTCGGTCCTAGCTTTCCAGTTAATTGATGGACCGGACCGGGAACAAAAAGAAAAGAAAGACTTTCCATTTTGCGCTCCACCTAAGAAAATAGAGAAAACTTCCGACGAATCAACAGCTACCTATTTCGTCCTTCATTCCTTCTTGTTCCTCATTTCGGGATTTCTCTATCTATTTCATACCATATTTTCTGATTTCTCCTTCTTCTTCCTTGTTTCTTTCTGAAATTTTGCTGCTATATCGTATGAGTTTTTGCTGACAAGTCGATTGGCTGTTTTGCTGTTTCTGTTTCTTCTGTTCCTGTTTTGCTGTTTCTTCCTTCTTGTTCCTGTTTTTCAGATATATGTATGTTTTTTTTTTTTTTTTAATAAATGTTTTTGTAGATGCTATGCGCTTTTATGTAATTTTGTTATACAAGAAATGCAAATGATGTAGAGTCGAATTTCTGTTAATATTACCTTTTTGCTGTTGCTGTGATTTATTTTGTTGTTAAAATTACATTGCTTGTTATTTTGCTAGTAGATGTCTTGTTATGTGTATGAACAAACTCACAAGGGTAATATGGTTATTTTTTTTATCATTCACCACAGTCAGAAAAATAATCAAACAATATAAACTCAGTCAGAACTTCTAATTCAATCTGTAATTCAAACTCAGTTAGCAACTATCAAACGATCCCTAACTCGTGATGATGATGTGATAGTTATTTTCTTTGTTTAATCATGAAGCGTTTTTTACATGACTTACACAAAATAATGGCAATAACTTTTTGACCAACCGATAATGCTACATAGTTGTTAAATATTCGACGTTGCAACAACTTTTCCCATTAGGAAACAAAGGTAACATAATTACTTTTCCCATTAGGAGACAAAGGCAACAAAAATTCTTTTCACATTAGAAGCCCAAGTCAACAACTTCTCCAACAAAGAAATTTGTGGGCTTAAATGATTTCCCTTAATTTATTTAAATCCCTGCATTTCGCGGATTGCTTAATGCTTTGTTGGACCTACTTCTAAAATTTCACAATAAAATTTTGGCCTTTGAGGTTTCTTTTAAACAATCTTACTTTTATTCCATTATAATATCAATAAGATAAAGGTTAAAGTCGAAATTACTACGCACTATTTTCTTTGTGATCACTTAGTCAAAATTTTGTTTTGTCTAAAAAGTCACCGAAAATTTATTTAGTCAACTGTCTTTATGACCAACAATGTCAGGATTTTATGTTTTTTTGCTATGAGTTTATTGATTTTTTTCTGTGTATATATATATATATATATATATATATATATATATATATATATATATATATATATATATATATATATATATATATATATACACACACTAACCGTTTACCCGCGCCAAGCGTCGGGTGTGAATAATTTGTTTCAATGATTTGTTTTTTTCCGGCGAACACTGATTAGTTTCAATTCAACGATTATTTTGCTTTAAGAAATATGTTATATTAAAAATTAGCTTCAATTCAATAATTTGTTTTCTTTCCGACCCACAATGTATTTTGTAATGTGTTTGCCGGGTTTGTATATGTTGAATAGGTGTTTTTATATGTTTGTTCTATTGTTACGAAAACATATAACTTTCTAATTCATGATAATATATTTGTGCAAACCATTTTTTTGTTTGTAAATTTAGAGAAAAAAACATATTTAAAGGTATGTTATTATTTTGTTTAAAAATAAACGTATGTCACATACGTTTTTTCATTTTTTAATATAATTAAAAAATGTATGTGGTTATATTTGAAAAAAAAATAACAAACTTTTAGTAGTTAATCATAAAATACTTTTGAAAAAAAAGGGTAAAATCTAAAGATCGAATTTGTACTTACCTTATAACATCTCATATATATGGATATAATGCTAATGTTTTAAATTTAGAATAATTTCATTTTATATTGCATATGATATGTATATTAGTTTTTGTCATAGATTCAATTTTATTAGATAATTTAATTTTATTTTATTATCATCACTTCAACTTTTTTAGTAGAATAATTTTGTGATCATTTTAATTGTAAAAGGATAAACGATGATTTATGTGAACCAACGATTGAGTTTGTCAAATTAAAATGAAAGTTATTATTTGTAACTGTTTGTTCATGTTTTGATTTTATTATTATTATGTATAATGCTTAGTTTGTTGTGAGATCATGAGTTATATACATGCAATTTCAAAATTTTAAAGGTTATTTTCTATTTTACATTTATTGAGAAATATTTTATTTAATCGTATAAATAAAAGTAAATAGGATTTTATATAGTAAAAGAATAAATATAATTTTATGTACTCATAATGGAATTCATGCAAGTATTAATCGGAAAAATATAAAATATTAGAATATGTATGAACATGTAATCAATACAAACTACAGTGGATCCAGAGAGATTTCATAAACATTTTTTATACTCAAATTTTTGCAAATAACTTGATGTTGTGCTCTTTTAGCATTAACAATGAGAAATACTTATTTTTTTTATATAAAAATAAAATTTAACCACCCAATTATTCAACAACAAAACCAAAGGGAATAGCATACGGACAGAAAAACAACAGCGAAAGATAGCTACATAATCAATTTTAATCTCATTTAACAATTAACACCATTGTAGATATGGGTAAGTAACCTATATCACATGCATCAATCTCTAATCATGATCTCTTCTTGGCTCTTTTCTAAGGAAGAAAACAAAAACATGCATCACTCCTTCTCAAGGTTGCTTGACAGATAATCTATAAATCAATCCAAAGAGAGATTATAAACATTACAAAAATATCCGTCCACAGATAAATTTATCTGGAATTAATAAAATTTCAATCTCACTGCTATGTTATAAACAAAATGTATTTAGTGTCAACAAAAAACATACCTACAATGGTATCTCATAGGCATCCATTGTATAAACCTGGGGAATAAGGTTTAAACATTGTAAGTATCTACTACAATCAAATGGAGCATTATAATGGAAAGAAGATAACATGCGTTATGCAAGCAATAGACAATAAAAGATGGCATTAGAGAACCATGACAAATCTACATGAAACCTTAAATCTAACAAACACAATATCAATAAACAATATAAGTGATTAAGGAGAATGAAGAAATTTTGTGAACCACCTTATACATATAATACTTTTAAGTGAAAACGTTTCCATGCATCCTTTCTTTATATAATCTCATTACCGCTCCATGGTTTTCCCATAAAATAACAATTGTCTAACCTTAATATGTTTGTGTTTTGTTGCTTGTGTAAATTTTCATTTGTTAGTATGTACCAATACACAATATTAAAAAAAAAACATACCAATACAGATCTACAAGCCATGTGGTTTGCTGACTGGTTCAAGTTCTTCAACTATGACAATTCCCACTTTAACCTGCATAAAGAACATAAAGAACATGGGAAATAGACTTAAATTTATGAAGACTTATAGAAACTCCATTAAACTTTTGTCTAGTAATTATGTCGAGAGGCTTACCACCATGCATATGTTATTATTCAATGTCAAGGAAGAAAAAACTATACAAAATAATAGGAATAGAGAATCAAGTGGAAATAAACATATACATAAACAAAATCGTTTTCTACAATTCCCAAAAGGAGTTGAATCACCTGGAAAAAAGAACAATACAAATAGCATTCAAAGATTTGATCTTATTTCTAGATGTTTCCAAAACTGCCCTGCAAATTAGAAAATTAAACTTACAGGCAAATCCAAACACATTTTTACTGATATAGCCACATATAAACACAAAACTCATTTGTGGTAGATATCAAAGTACTATACATCAAGGGGATTTAGGGGATTCCCCTACTCTGTTTCGGTTTATTAGCCTTTAGGTAGATGCTGCCACCATAACCACCTCAGCCTTTGGTACCTCCAATACCTAATTTTACTGAAAATTGCAGAATCAACTTCAAGATTTCTAAATCAAAGGAATTTTAATACGATTTTACAAAAATCGGAACTTTGGGGGATTACATGTTGTGAAGCTTAAAAATGAAACAACATGAAAGAAATAATCACATGTCCTCATTAAAAAACGTCCACCACTTCACATACCAATTGAATTAAAACCATGAGATGTAAAAACTCACCTTTAAGTCAAGTCTGGTAACATTTCTACCTCAATAGTGATTCAAAACACTATCTTAAGCCTCTCAGTCATCCATATACTTTATCGAGGAAGAAAGTGAGACTCAATGAACTTTCAATGTTGTGATTGGTAAAAAAGGTTGCAGACAGCATCGAGAACAAGTGGTGATAGAGGGGATCCAAAGAAAAATAACCCTACTTTCGTTCAATCCAAATCATAAAATCTAGCAGGTTCTACAAAATTGCAAGTTTCTATTAAAACCAATTTTGCCAAGTTTTCCTTCAAGATATCCAAATCTAAAAACCCAATTATCACCCAGTTTAATCAATCGATCAAACAAAATTGCAGGTTTACGGAACAACAAAATCATTAAATCATGAAATCCGAATTGCACATTCTCACTAAAAGAAGCGAGAGAGAAAGAAAATCATCCGATGTTGCTGTGGTTGGCAAATTAGTTAGTGACTTATAAGCTACCATTAATGATGCATATGATTATATAATATGACGACTGACAACAGGAGAAGTGACCGGGTGCACCCCCAACCAACCTTAACTTAAAATCAACTGAATATATCAACAATTAGACATATCATTTTATAAGCGACCAGATGATTAGTGAAAAAAAATCAAGATTCAATAAAGGTGAAGTAATTATCAATTTACTTGATTGGAGTTTGGAGTGTGTGACAT